GGTTTTAAAATAGAATAAAGACAATTTTCCAAACTTACGTATGTTTTCATGAAGAACTGGAAAGAAAAACAGAATAAAGTAACTCAGTTAATTAAGATGAGGGTTGTCATTTCCATATTGACAATATTTTTTTCTTAAACTCAGATACATTTCAAACACCTCAAACATTAAGAAAAGTGGCAATTAATTAGTTTCTTGAATCCAAAAAACAACAGAACCTTCTAAGACGACTGACTGGTTACTATAGAATCTTCCTTAGTGGGGAGAGCGGGGAGGGAAAATGTTCTGGTACTTAATGCTTTCAATAGAAATTGCTATGATCAGGTCACCGCTAAGCGCGCATTCATAGCTCGTGTGAAAGCTTTGAATCTGCTGCTCACAACAAACAATAAACCCTTTAGAGGCTTCTGGGAAATGAGTATAAATTACAAGAAATGCAGTAGCAATTATGAAAATTCAATATGCTAGCTGTACAGGAAATTTAAAGATCCAAGAAAAACAGTGAGAACTAGGAGTGAATGTGTAAATTATGTCTGTGTGCAGGCAATACCTGGCATGATTTGTGACCCACACGTAACTTTTATGACTTTTTTTTCCATAAATAAAACCCGCAGAGTAATAACCCAAACTTGTATTTACAACCAAAGCTACACTGAAACAATTGGCAACAATGAAGCCTGGATTGCTATTACAGGCAACTTGACTGACTTATTCACATAGGAGAATAAGGAACAGCAGAAGAGGCAGTTACATGCCTTCTTTCTCTTCCCTCAGCCCCATCAGATATCATTTAAAGACTTCGATAGACATTTGTGTAAATCTTGTTTTCAACCCCTGCCTTTTAAAAAAGAAATTAGCTTAATTTTAACTGAGTTTGAAATGACTGTGCTTGCTATAGGGCAGGATTGTAATATAGCAGTACCATTGACATTTTGGTCATATAATTGTGGGAAGCTGCCTTGTGCGTTGTAGAATTTGCAGCAGCTTCTACTCACCAAATCCCAGTAGGACCACCAATCCCCTTCCAGTTACAACAAACAAAAATATCTCCAGACATCGACAAATGTAATTTTAATCCCTGGGGACAAAAGAACCTCTTTTATAGGAAAAGCTAGCACAAAAGATGACATCAATCCAGACTTCATCAAAACTACATTTTAAGAAACTTGAGCCAGTCCATTTCAGCACAAAAGACAAAACAACCTGTCAACTAGAACATCACTATAGCTGTTCTGCTGAATTTATTTTTATCTAGTTTGTGAAAGTTTGAAAAGCATGTATCTCTGTTTTTTTAGTTTAATTTTGTTGGAATTAGTCTGGATAGTTTTCTGTTTGAGATTAGATTCCAAGACAGAGTTGAATTTACAAGCTGGTGTTTACAGAAAATGAGAGTTTGACTCAACAATGGTTCAATTTGCCACAGCTTTCAGAAATCAATTAAGTTCCAAATCAAGGGTCACTTCCAAATTAGACCTTTGGCTCTGTTGCTTCACCTGATGGACAATAATAACTGGTATTGATTGTTTAAGATCCCCAAATACCTCATAATCACACATGTCCTGAAGGTTTTGTAAGGGGAAAATAAAATAAATCAATGGAAGTTAGTCACCAAAGACAGCACGAAGAGAAGGCTTTACTCCAAATCCTGAACTCTATATAGGTTCAGGATTTGGGTCAACTGAACTTGGAAGGCCAATATCACTTCCTGTGCTACCCTGGAGATCCTGCAGATGAAAGTCAGTGGGGCAAAATGAAGGGATGGATCCGGGAGCTTCATGACAGAAGAAGGGGACTCACAGGATGAAGGCCAGAGTCTCTACAATTAGATGTTTGCCCTGCCTTATTGATAAGTTTTTTCTGGTAGAAAGATTTTCAGTGGTAAAAAATCTTAATTCTAGATAACACTTCTTATTTTCATTCTTCCAAGTAGTTAAGGAGATGATATTTCTCCTGAAACTACAGGGCCTCAATTAACCTCAGTTTAAAATAATCTACATGCCAAAGTGACACATCTAGGCAAGGCTTGTTCTTGGGAAGCATTTAGCTCACAATAAGGGAGGAAAATTGATCGGTCACATCTTGGTGCTATAAAAGTTGTGCTGCTCTTGGGCCTCCCTGGTGGCGCAAGGGGTTAAGCACCACACTATGTAGCAATTTGCAGCCTCTACAGTACGAGTTTGATCCCCAGCCAGCCAAGGAGCAACCCACATGGCTAAGCAGACCTCTCCTGACTCACCCGCTGCTCCCCCCAGCAGCGTATTTCACTCAGTCTGCCTGTTCTGTTCCCCACTCTGTCTCTAGTGGATCCTTTCACCCCTCCCCCCGCATCTCTGGCCTGTACCCCAGTTCTTTTATGCATAAATAAATAAATCTTTAAAAAAAAAAATGTTGTGCTGCTCTCCATTGTGATCTTTCTTACCACAGGGTCTTCCACCACAACAAAAGCCTCTGCAGTAGCTCAAAAACTGTCCCTCCATCAGGGTCTAGGTGTTGCCCAAAAGCAGACTTCCAGCACCATTTATTTCTCTTCTAAGGCCAGCATCAGTTCTCTGATTTGGTGGAGTGAAAAACTTGTTTTCTTTCCAATGGGCTACAGGGAATTGGGAAGGGACATCTCTTTGGGAAAGTTCCAAAGAGAAGAGCAGTCCTCTAAATCTGTGAGTTCCTTGAAGGCAGAACTTGAATTTCCCATTTCTATTCCTAATATTCCAACAACACTCTATATAGATTCTCCCAGAATTGATGTAAAGTAAATTGAGTGATTTCTATCTTATGCCCATGAAAAAGACTTAACAGAGAACTCTGGACTTTGAGTCAAAGGCAGATGTGGTCAAACCATTTCTGCCATTTGCTAGTCACCTGTTCTAGCTAAGTCTTCTCCTCTCTGAAGCTTATGTCCTTATCTTTAAAATGGGAATAAGAATAACTGTCCTTTCTGCTGCACACTCCTCTGTCAGGGAAAACGAAAATATGAAGATGCTTTGAAGTAGTAAAAGCATTGGTAAAAGTTAAAAGATGTTGAAAATCTATGTTAAATCTTGATTATCATCTTCCCAGCATGTTATGACCTGAAATTTCGCTATCCTCATACACAAAAGCAATTTACTGTGTGAAGAAAATGCCCTGGGCAAAGTAAAAGCATGGACAAAGTAAAAGTCAGGGATTAGCTGACGCCTACCTAAGAGCAGGAGGAGGGGACAGTTTGAAGGAAGAAAATGGATGAGACATGAGATACCCAAGAACAAGGAACAGAGGACCCAGGAGAGGAACACAGCAGTCATAGCTGAGACCAACCCTTCTGGTGGCCTTCTGACCAACAGCATTGAAGAGGATCAGGTTGCACTGAAAGCCAGTACAATATGTTCTCAATCTAATGTCCTTAGTCTCAGTCTGGTTCCAGTCCATTTCCTACCCTACCCTGGGATGTAGACTCTGTCCCCTGGGATCAGACAGACCCCATCAGGCACTCCACAGCCCCCAGAGATGCTTAATAGCTCTCTTTCTGAGGTGTGGGCTGAGGACTCCTCGCTGAGACCTTGTATGTCTCAAAACTCTTCCCAGGAGAGAACACCTGTGGTAGGAAGGTCTGCTGGGCTCAATGGTAGATTTCTAGAGAATAGGTGATGACTTCTACAGAAGGGGCTCCTGTGTGGCTTCTATGGCACTCTGGTCTCCAGTTTCATTGGATGTGTTGTCTAGACCCAGGGCTAAACTGCTTAAGGGACAGAGAGGCTGAGTTCTCCTTCAGCACCCTCTACATCCTCCCTACACAGGACCCAGAGACAAATGCTGGGAGAATATTCACTTGAAAAGGCAATTCTTCCAGATTTCACTTACCTCAACCCAGCCTTGATCTCAGGCTTTACAAAGAATCCCTGCATAGCAAAGACAATCTATTTCTGCCTCTCAAAATGGATCCAAAATTTACCATGGGCAAAGCTTGTTCTCAGAGGAGGCAACCTCATCCCCATTGAATGGGACTAGCCAGGAACTGGCACTTAACTCACTGCCCTCTCTAGGTGCCTGGACTTGGGAGAACAGCTTGTCACACCCCAGTTCTAACTCTTCCAGGGCTATAAAGGGGTAAGGGGCCCATTGCCACCTTCAGAACCATTCACCTGTCCCAGACTCTGACCCCTATAAGGAAGAGGAATAGAAATTATGGTGTTCATGCTCAGTCCTCAGCTCCTGCTTGCACCCAGGGGTACAGACAAATGTGTGTTCATGGAGCCAGTTGATTTCACTCTATTGGTGTCACATGGACTGTGACAGATGTACTGGGGCACTGGAGTTTCTCTGCTGCAGTTTTCCCAGTAAGGCATGATATTACACACTGAAAGCAAGAGCATGTCTCTCCACACAGAGCAACTGCTGCCAAAGAGCCCTGGCAGAACAGAGAGAAATATCATGTCCCTCACTGAAGTTTCTTGTCTGAGCCACCTTAGTATTCCTGACTGAGAGCATTCCTTTACTTCTCCATTCACTGCTCCTGCAGCCATTCATTCATTCACTCATTCATTTGACAAAAAGTCGCTGAACATCCCCTCTCTGGCCTACAGTTGTTGGTTGAGGGGTGAAAACAAATCCCAATGTTATACAAGTATATTAGTGCAAATCTATTTCGGTGACTTCAAGGAATGAACTCACTGCCTCTGAATTATGTAGTATATGGATGAAAACCAATGGAACATATATATCTGTTTGCCCTCCATGAAGGAAAGTCAGGCTCAGAATGAAGTTGATACCCCATGAGGCTAACAGAGCCACTGAAAGAAACTAGGTTCTGATTACATTGTTAAGTTGCTGAATTCAATCTGACCTGGATTTATGAATACATCTCCTTTTTTTTTTTTATTAAGGCAGTTTTAGTTGGGTTTTTCTGCTGTTTGACACTAAAAGAATCTTTACCTATAAAATATAGTAAGGAAGAAGGTTCATGACATTTAGATACCAGAAAAAGTTTGATGCAGACTTTAAAAAAAAAAAAAAACAACTCCTACCATTAACTTCCAGTTTTGATTCTTTCCATTTTTGACGTCACTGCATTCATCTGCCAAGTCATGTCAGTTATGAACTAAAATGGATAACGTCAAAAGCGTTCCATCATATAGCCTCCATCAAAATGTCCTTGATTGCCAGTCAGCCAGAACAGTTCTGAGAGAACCTATAATAGAAAAGAAAAATAACTGAACACTAGACTTCTAGATGCTTCCATTAGTGCCTTGCTGCTGACATTAGTGAAGTCATCCATCAGGGGCAGAAACTGTCAAACAGTGATCCATCAGTCCTCAAGGGTCCATGAGACCCAAAAAATTTAAGCCATTTTTATAAGAACATTAATATAATATTTACCTTTTTTCATTGCATTGATATTTGCTTTGGTGGTGGTAAAATTGTAGACACCTTAAGGTAATCAGACAGTGGCAACAAACTGTTCTCATAGTCTTGGTATTTTTTTTTTTTTTACTCATGTTAAAAGGAAATGCCTATTTCATTGATGAAAAAGTCCTTGATGAAAACATAAAAAGTACTCATTTTATTATATCTTAACCCTGAGTGCATCTCTTTTTAAAGCACTTCTGCAGCACACTCAAGTGCAGTAATTGACTCAAGAAAAAAAGATTGGGGCCTCCCCTGGTGGCGCAGCGGTTGTGCGCTGGGCTGCGAAGCTGCCCGCAGCCTCTGCAGCGCAGGTTTGATCCCCAGCCCCCGCGAGGGTCCCACATGGCGTGCAGACCTCTCCTGCAGCCCGCTGCTCCCCTCAGCAGTGTACCTTGGTCCTTCTGCCTGCTCTGCTCCCCGCTCTGGCTCTGGTGAATTCTCTCACCCTCCCGCGCTTCTGACTGTACCCAGTGCTTGTATAAATAAATGAATAGATCTTTAAAAAAAAAAAAAAATAGCAGCACTGTATAAAAAAAAAAAAAAAAAGGAAAAAGAAAAAGAAAAAAAGATTGCATGATTGTTTGAGTTGCCAGCTGAGTTAGTTGTTTTTTTTCATGGAACACCATTTCTCTTGAAAGAACAACCAACAGACAAACTATGGTTTTTTAGACTTGGGTATTTGGCAAACATTTTGTCAAAAAGAGCCAACTGAGCCTGTTATTTAGAGGGAAACAATTGACAGTATTTGTAACTCAGTGATAAAATTTCAGCTCTCAAGAGAAAATTAGAATTTTGAAAAGCTTGTATCCACCATGCTAAGCTTGACAGCTTCCCAATACTTAAGAACATTTCTGATTAAATCAGTAGTGATATTAAAAAGTGTGACTTTTTATTTTATATAATAAAATATGTCAAATTTGAAACATTGCATAATTCTTTGAATTTTTTTATTAATTTGTGTGTCATTTCTTTATTGATTTTAGGAGTTATTTATATATATTCCACATAGGAAACACTCGTCAGTTAAATGCATTTAAAAGATCTTGTACTCTGCTGCTTGCCTTTCTACTGTCTCTAGGGCATATTTAATAAGAATTTCTGCTTCAAATTTTTCAGTCTTTCTCATGATAGTTATAGTTTATTGTTCTTGTTTTCTGATCCTGAGACATGATTACATTGTCCTGTGTTATCTGTGGCTTTATCTTTTACATTTAGGCTTTCAATCTACCAAGAAATATTTGTGTAGACATATATGAAATCACCAACATTTGAAAACTTTTCAAAATGATAGGTCTACATTGCTCAACATAATAATATGATGTGAGGCAGGGATATATTTTAATTTTTTCATATGAATAATAAAATTTCCCAGTACTACTTATTTAAAAGTGTATCCTTGCCACCTTTCCCCCAATATAGGCCTTTTGTGAATCCCAGTCCTAGTAATACATTACCATAATTATTAAGGCTTTAAAATAATTCTTGAAATCTACAGGTCAAGACTTCTCACCTTGGAAATTCATAGCAATGCAATTACAGTAGGGGATTTGAACAATCCATTTACGTCAATGGTTAGATCATCCAGACAGAAAATGAAAAAGTAAATAGGATCATAAATGACACAGATATATTCAAAATATTCTATACAAAAAGAGCATGGTATTGTAATAAAAACAGACACAGAAAAAAAATCAAAATCAACAAACAACTATGAACCAGAGACACACTATGGGGGGGGCGGGGAAAGGGGGGATTGGGGTCAAAATAAGGGGGTTGCAATTGTATGGGGAATATAAAAATAAAATTAAAAAAACAGACATAGAGATCAATAAACTAGAATCCATAGCTCATAAATAAGTCTACATGCATACATGGAGCCAAGACATACAATGGAGAAAGGAAAATCACTTTAATAAATGATGCTTAGACAGTCACTTGCAAAACAATGAAACTATCTTACACCATCCACAAAAAATTAATTCAAAATAAAGATTTGAATGCAAGTCCTGAAGCAATAAAATACATTGAAGAAAATAACACAGTAAGCTATTTGCATCAGCCTTCACAAAGTCTTTGTAGATTCAACTCCAATGGCAAAGAAAACAAAAATATAAATAAACAAATGGGACTAAGTAAAACTAAATAACTTCTGCACAGCTTAAAAAAAAACCTTCATCAAAGTGAAAAGTTAATCTACAAAATGAGATAAGATATTTGCAAATCTGACAAAGGGTTAATAACCAACAAAAAATCAAGTAATCCAACTTTCAGGTGGTCAGAGAAGTTGAACAGACATTTCTCCAAAGACATATAGGTGGCTAACTAGCTATGAAAATATGTTCATCATAACTTATTATTAGGGAAAATGCAAGTCACAACCATAATAAGACATCACCTCACGCCTGTGAGAATGGCTACAATCAGAAAGACAAGAAATAACATGTTGGTGAGGTTTGGAGAAAAATGAACCCTTGAACACTACCCATGAGAATGTAAATTGTTGCAGCCATTATAGAAGACAGTAAGGAGATTCTTGAAAAAATTAAGAATAGTAATACCATCTGATCATGCTATTTCACCTCTGGATGTTTATATAAAGATTATAAAAATAATAATTTGAAATATATATATGCACTCCAGGTTCATTATAACACTATCTTTGATAGCTGAGATGTAGAAACAACCCAAGTGCCCATAGATGAATTAATGGATAAAGAAAATGTGGGGTGTGTGTGTGTGTGTGTGTGTTTGTATGTGTGTGTGTAAATGCATGCAATGGGATACTATGCAAATCTTGCCATTTGCAATAACATGGATGGACTTAGAGAATATCATGCCAAATGAAATAAATCAAATCAAAAGATATAATACATAGATGTTTAATTACAACTGTGTATATCTGAAACTTACATATAATGTGATAAGCCAAACTTACCTCAAAAATAAATTTTTTTTTTTTTCAACAGAGTTTGGTTATTCTTGACTGCACTTCCAAAGAAATGTTAGAATCATCTTGTTAAGTTCCTCCTCCCCCTTCTCCCCCCACCCCCCCCCCCCACACACAAGCATATACAACACACAGGCACTTGTACTAAAAATCTATGAAATTTGTTCAGCAACAGTCAGCCCTCAGGGTGAAAACTTTGCTTACTTCTCCAGGCACCTGCCTTCCCTTGGATGTTGGGCTGATATATCCTTGATCCTGTATTTTATCAACTCAGTGCTTTTAAGAAGATTTCTAAAATAGACATTAACTACCATTCTTTGTTGTTATTAGCAGGAAGATTGTTTCAGGTACCTAGCCATTATGTTATCAGAAACAAAGTTATGCATTTCCAGAATATGCACATTTGTAACAAAGAGATTCGTCAGAAAGTGAATTCCAACTAAACAGGACAATGCATATCTGTGATTTAACTTAGTGAAATGTGATAGTAATTGCCTTTATACACACATACAAACCAAACTAGAAACTTCAGACTGGTGGGGAATAGAGGTAAAACCTCTATCTAGAGACCCAACAAAACTAGTTCTTCTCCAAGGAGATAGATTTCATTAACTACAAATATTTATAGTGTAACTATTCTACAACCTGGGGATAAGCAGCAAAAAACCAACAAGTCTCTGTCCTAGTTGAATGTAAATTTGAATGGAGATTCTTGTCTATGCCTTTCTCAGCACCATGTTCTAAACAGCAGGATTATGTAGCCCAGCTGGAATAAAGCTATCAGAGTGTCATATTTCCTGGGGCCAGCACAGCAGGTGAAAAAAATAATAAAGTGAAAAGGATTTTTTTTTCCCCTTTAACAGTCAGTGTCTCACAAATGATCCATTATTTTTCTTTCCTCTGAGTTAAGTCTCCTAAAATCGCTGCCCTTTCCATACTGGGCATAATTGGGAGCAGCTATGGATAGTCTATGTCCATTTGCATGACAAAACCGGCTGCAGTTGCGTTTTAACTTCTTCATTTGCAGAAAATCAGGTTTTCTTTCTTCCTTTAGATTCTGTGTCAAATCACTATGAGAGGTCTCACCTTTAAACCTGGGCGGTGGATGGAAAATTACACATGCTCTTTAGTGAGCTGGAAATGTCCACATAAATTAAGGTTATTTCAGGATTAGGAGGTCTTGGCCCTAATTTCAAATCCTGACAGCCTGCTTCTAGCAGAATACACGAGCAGAGGCGTCTAAGAGCCTCCTGTGTAGTCTGCTCAATCCAGGCAGGGGGTTCCACTTTCTCACCTCCTGGATGATCTCAGATACACACTTAGGGCCCTGGGACAAAAGGAGAAAAGCTTCTTGCATATAAAGATTTCCCCTCCATGTCCCTCTGACACAATTATAGAAGAAAGCAGGGCATGAAACTGCAGGTGCCCTGTGCTAAGTGTTATGTAGATTACTCGCATGTGCAAAAGGAGCTTATTTTTTTATTTTAATATTTTATTTTATAAAATTCTTAACATCATTTTTCATCTTTGCACAATGTACGCATTTTCATTTTGGTTATAATCCCCATACAATTGCACCCCCCCCCCTTATTTTGACTCTAGTCCTTCCTCTTCCCACCCTTCCCTCCCCCCAAAAGGAGCTTATCAAGGGGACAAGTGGCAGCTCATGTTCCTCAAAATCCTTGAAATGCTCCCAGGGTGGGAAAAAAATATGATGTTTATTTATTGACTCTTCTTTAAGGGTACTTAAGATTTTGAGAAGAGCAAACTGTATAATGTTATCAGCAGGTAGTCCAGATTTCCAGTCATGTGATAATGGAGACACTTTCTGTTCA